GCTGTCGAAGAGTTTTCAGCAACCTTGTGAGTAGTTTCCTTTATGAAAATATACTGCGATATCTCGAATATCGTGCCAACTGAATCATTAGGCGGCCTGTATACAGCACATTCAGTTGTAGAATATCATAAACGAGCGATTCAGTTGAGTCTCTCGTGAAAACCAAATTGATTCGCATATTAGTGTATTTCTCGAGAACAGTAGATCATAAAGTTAACGGAAACTCGGGGACTGCGCCTACCTGCTGAGCCCCAAGAAGGGCGAAACCGGTCGTGGACTGTCGAAGAGTTTTCAGCAACCTTGTGAGTAGTTTACTTTATGAGAATAGATGATCTTGTTGTTGGAACACAATTCATAGGGCTACTGAAAACAAATTACCGCTAAAGTATGATTACAAGCAGAAGCAATTTGGTATCCCTTCAGTTTGCGTTCACTATTCTCCAAACGTTTGAGAACGGCGAATAGAATTTGTGAATATTGATCCTCTGAATGATCGGAAATGAGGTATTCGCAGGCTAACTACGAACAGTGCCTTCTCAACAGATGAAGCGACGCTTCGAGAAGTCACTGCCCACAAGACCAGATAACGATATTTCATTTGATGTGACCGATAGGCAATGAATGTGAGCAACTGTTGGATCATCTTGTTAGCACTACCAAAGTTAAAGGCCAGGACTACGGTCAACATAGAATGATCATGCGCAATTTGAGGTCTGTCATCGGAATCGAAGGTGAAAAGTACGTGACTTTGAAGTGAATATGAACGTCAAGATGATCGATTTCGGTTTGCTGAAAACCAAGCTAACGTGATGTGACGCAAATCCTGAGATAAGATGAGATGAAGAGAGTGGATGGATATATTCGCGCCACAACAAATGATCAAATGAGGTTAAAAGCAGTCATACACAAGACAAAGCAAGTAAATATATTGACCAGGATTGCCGGATCGCCAATGAATAGGATTGATGAATTTGCAGGGAAGTAAGTTCCGTTCATTTACCGAGTTTAATACTTCTAAATTTCTTCATTCAGGAAGGTCGCAAACCATGTTGACTTGCTTTGTTTTAGGCATCTGGAATGCTTAGGAACGCTAAGCGGTAGAAAACATTCTCAACTGCCGGTTTGTCGGTCACCTAGGTTTTCGGCTTCGTTCATGAATTGTTGACTCGTTACAATTAAGTGTGTGATTGCGCTTCCGTCTCCTGAGTGTTCTACATCGTCGCACCACTTCAGAGTAATTATCAGTTTCAGGAATGTGAGACAATCGATTGATGGTGAGTATGAGTCACCCACGCTTCACCCCGTTTCTAAACTGACCTTGATTACACAACCAGAAACAGTGTGATCTATTTCACACCTCCTTATTCCGTTTTAGACAGTTTTGCCCACCAAAGCGAACTCCGCCAGCACCATAAAAAAATTATCTAGACATAACGGTTTCCTATTTCAACTTGTAGCAGCGAAACCAGACTGCGTGAACCGATTTGGTTCGGACGAGGAAACATCAGATTGGATACATCTTATGTCATTAGACATTTCGTAAACTAGGTAGGAATGAAACTATCTGGCAGCAACAACGAACACCTTTTGAATGAACATGACTTACTTGGCCGAGGAGTTGGCATTTGCTGACGTATTTCCGTAGTTGCGATGCCGGGAAAAGGTAATCGAGCTGGACAACAGGATGAAGCAATACCCGAGAACTAAATTGTTTCTAGTATCTACCATTGTCTTCGTTGTTTCATAAGAAAATATTCACTTAGTAAAATATGTTTTCGTGGTTTTTATCCGATTTCAGCCGGATGAAAAAAGTTTGTTCCTAGTTGACCTGAGTGACAAGAATTGACTAAAAGTTAAACACGCTTAGAACAGTGTCGTAGTAGATATCAGTCACAAATGTCCAAGTGTATTGAATACACTTTCGATGAAACAGGGCGTTCCATTTCACTCTCGTGAAGGCTTTTTGCAATACTCGGATACAGATGAAACCCCTTTGTTGTTTTGCAAACTAAATTGGTTTTTGGGTAAGATTCAACCTAATCCCAGCTGATAATGTGATGTTTTCCAACTGAGTGTGCTTCACAAGGGCCGCCTTACATTTCAGCAGTTTTTTTCTGTCTAGGTAGTGTACCGCGATATGTCAGATATTGTCCCATGTGCAACACCAAGCGACCTTTTGATTGTACATTTAGCTGACAAATATCACAAACGAGAGAATCAGCTAGGATTCAGTTGAGCCCACCGTTAAAGACGAACTGGTGAATTGCGTCCAATTAGGGTTTAGGTAGAACATGAAATTGACGAAAACTCGGAGACTGCGCCTAACTGATAAGCTTGTCGTGGACTGTCGAGAGGTTTCCAGCAACCTTACTAGTATTGTGCTTCATTAATGCGCCAAGTCTTGATAATAGTTATACAGGTTCACTGGATTGAGGATCACACTCCGTACCATCAGAGTCTTATCTTCTGTTCCCAGTTTTTGAAAAGCTTAAAAACACTGACGCCCAGTAAAATCGTTCAGCTTTAACACCCTTTCTGTGCCTAGCTTCCATGCCACCCAAGGGAAGCATGAGGAAACTGCCAGATTGCCCAAGCCTAGACAGGGAAAGTCGAGAGGTAGAGGTCAGGTTCGAACCACAGAATTTCTGGTCAGTCTATTCGCGCTCTAGCCACTGAGCCATCCCGTTCTGACACCCAGTAAGAATCTAGAATAACCTGCCCATCCTACCCAGTTGTACTCTCGTTCACTTTAATTTTGGACATGGTAAATTTCCCCTCTGCAGGTCTTTCAGGCAAAGACATGCCCATCAGCTAAACAGAGACATAGTTTATTTTTTGTTTGCCTTCTCACTGCTTCTTTTGTCTGCCTTGCATTTCTTACATCAAATATGGCATACGTATTCATGAATGATTGCAATATTGATTGTCTTCGATACCCTTGTACTGTTTCACTTGTTATAGCTTGCATTCTGGTTATATTATATACAGCTGCTTTTTAGCAGCTTTTATTTTTCAGAGTTGTGCAAATTATGAAGGTTTTATGCATCTTTATAAGGTTGCGTTAATGTTCGTCAGTTTTAAATAAAAGATCCTTTCCGTGTTCCGACTCTATGAACCAGTCCACTATGTATCCTCAGCGAATCGAAAAATTCTCCCTTCTTATGGAATGGAGGGTGTCACGTCAGAATCTAATGGGTTCATTCAGGGCGAATGCTCAGTATGGTTGACACAGAAATCCTGTCAGTATACCCATCACCCTTCTGCCTGCTCTACTTTCTTCTCATCTCTTTTTATTCTCATGGAGTAACTAAGAACCCGGATAGGGTAGTGTAATGATCCATGAATTTTACCAAAGCATCCCTACTCATATGGATATTCTGAATCGTCTGCTGCTGCAGACGATGTCCTTGAAAGCTACTGTTTACCAAGCCCTTCGAACTAATATTGCCCGAATTTACCATGAATGTTACAATGTCAGTGGATGCGAGTGAATTATATAAAACTCTGATACGTAGAAAGCTGCTCATTGTCGAAAAGCCTTGTCTAGGCTGAAGCCTCCCAGTCAGCGCAGGGCGAAACATATTTGGTGGCAACATTAAACAAGTATATGGTAATTTGATTTTGATGGGAGACTCACCGAGAACCCAGATGAGCCCCTTTTATGATGCTCCTAATCAGCTGAATTCAGTTTCAAGCAGAACTTAAGGTTAATGAATGCTCTTGAACTACATCTATCTGATGAACCCCCAGAAAAACGAAACCGGTCGTGGGCTGTCGAAGAGCTTTCAGCAACCTCATGAGTATTGTATTACGTCTATACAGTGTATCGCGTCGTATCGAATATCGTGCCAACTGAAACATGAGGCGGCCTGGTGAAGCAAATTCAGTTGCTCAAAACCATCACAAATGAGATATTGAGCTGGGTTCCAGGTGAGTCTCCCGTCAGAGCCAAATTTGTATGCAAATGAGTCTAGTTCGCTAATGTCGTGCAATTTGGGCTCAAGTAGAACATACGGTTGACAGAAACTCGGGGACGGCGCCTACCTTATCAACCCCAAGAAGGACGGTACCGATCATGGGCTACCGACGAGTATCCAGCAGCTCTATGTGTAGTTCGTTATGTCTGTGCAATATATAATACCTATCTCTGTATTGGTCTCATTTATTTGGAACTGAAACTGTCGGCTGATATTGTTTTCTTAGGGGATCTCCTTGCACATCCATTTCAAAAGTATAGATCGATAAGGATTTTCGCAATGTGATGTGATGCTTTCGAAGACAACCATGTATACTTCAAGCGAGCTTATATGCCGCCAGAGCGTCTATAACTTTTCAAACTACAGAATCGCGTTCAACTCTTTGTATCGCCAAATATCCTATGGGAGAAGCCCTACATCACAACAGTTTTATGGAATGATCGTGACATAGAATTCATCAGACGGTAAGTAGCTTGACTGATAATTAGACTCCACTTTCATGCATCAAACACCGATAGAATGTACAAAGTTTACGCCAGTTTCTTTTCGGAGCGGACTTTACACTAATTTGCCAAAATCATAATCATCTGGCTGGGAGTAGCTGAATGGTCACCACCACCACAGTGTGTGATCCGACGACATTTCCGTCTGCTTCACTTTCCTGACCAAGGTTCTCGAAAACACTGTTGGTCCATACGTCTGTTTTCGAACTAACCTGTGCAACAGGTTAGGGTTAGAGAAAGCTCTTTCAAACTTGTAACATACCTCTGACTAACCTAACTGTATCGGGCTCGTATTCAAAAAGATTTCGAACACTTGGTGACAAATCGCTGTATTCGTGGTATCGCGTCATCACACACTTAATGTATGATATTAAACGACTAAGTATTGCGCCACAGGTGAACAACTAGGCTGATCTGCATGTGTTACATCTTGTTGCACGTACAGTGCTTTTTCCTCAGGACGATTAGCAATTCTTCTGCTATTGAATGGCAGCGGCTAATAAGCCATCGGTTTGAGAACATTTTGTCTTCGCTCTCAGTCTCTCTCTCTCTATAGTGGCACCGGACGCATGCATCTGGAATGCGTATTGCTTTCTATCTTTAGATGAATGTTCCAGTCAGAAACCGATTTGGTTCATTCAGGGGGGTGTATCGTCCGGCAGGTTATTCATCTGTGCTCTTCAGGTTTGTAACGAGGAAGCCGTGTATCTCATCCAGTTCTATTGTGTCGCTTGAGAACATTTGTCTTCGCTCTCAGTCTCTCTCGCTCTATAGTGGCACCGGACGCATGCATCTGGAATGCGTATTGCTTTCTATCTTTAGATGAATGTTCCAGTCAGAAACCGATTTGGTTCATTCAGGGGGGTGTATCGTCCGGCAGGTTATTCATCTGTGCTCTTCAGGTTTGTAACGAGGAAGCCGTGTATCTCATCCAGTTCTATTGTGTCGCAGTAACTGTGTCCACGTTTGCACAATAACTGTCCGATCAAATAAATCTCGAATAAGCCCGACGGTCTGCATTCATTTTAATATGTGGAAACTTTTGCCCTTCTGATACCCTTTGGACGAACTCTATTACGCAAACTGCTCCTGATTCTTCTTAGTCACCAAGAGAGTCATACCTTGGAATTTCTTACCGCTTTCCACGACAGTCTTGACCTATGTGTCGTGAATATCTTTCTTATCTTATCTCTTTTCATACTACCGCTTGCATATGGCCATTTTCTATTTGGCCGACTAGCATTCAAGACGGCCTTGATAAATCGATGACATATCACGTGATTCTTTCCGACGTCAGCATGTCTACTGTTGGCTTGGCTGTTCGTGAGCAGATAAAACCCACATATACGCCTGTGACATCGAAACAAATAGTCTGTAGATACTTTGGTTTGCAAACTACACGGTCAATATTAGGTGTCTTTATGACCAGCTGCGTAGCTACCTTAAACTGGTTACAGACCTTAGGAGAAGCGCGTCATTGTGTCTTATCGTCGACCTCAAAGTAAGAAAATGGATTAACCGACATATGCATTGTTATAAGTTTAGTAGTCTAGCCAGAAACTGTCAAAACAGAGTTTATGAAAATGTTCCATGAATTTCGTTATCCATGAAATTGTTGGTCATTGCTCTGACACTTGACCTGTCTGTAGAGTTCGGAGTGAAATTCAAATACGACAATTTCTGTGTACTAGCTGCGCTGAGCATGCAATCTAACCCAAAAGATCGTTCAAGTGTACACACTAATGAAAGAGAGAATCGAGATGGTGAAGTAATCTCTCCGAACACATACAGAATGCCCGAAAATAGGGAGTAAACTATTTTTGGTAGGGTTGGAAATGTTCCCAAGCCGTTTCATCATACACACTGCCAGCCACACAACGCCATTAGGAGATTATCCCTCTAATTCGAACTACTCCTGTATGTAGATGTAGAAGATGTGGTACCTCGGTAACGCGCTATGTATTGTTTTTCTCATACCAAATTCACAGTGGTGTAAGACAAGAGGTGAGCAGTCTGATTTGGCAAATGAGAATTCACATCACTAGACGTGGAGATTTTATTAGTGTCGTTTGCCTCGTGGGATGATGTTCCTTTGATTCTGTTTGTGTTTGACTAGAGACTCTGAAAGATGTGATCATCAGCTGCCTTGAATGGCATATTTGTTCACTGTGCGTGTTCACTGAATGAAAGGT